CTTTTTTTTTTTTTTCCCCCAGAGCTGAGGACTGAACCCAGGGTCTTGCGCTTGCTAGGCAAGCACTCTACCACTGAGCAAAATCCCCAACCCAAATGAATGATTTCTTACATATTTCCTCCCCCAGTGCCTCAATATTTTAAAAATCTTTTAAAAAATTCTTCCCTTATTTTATTATTTATCATATTCTCTTTATGTGAATGTACACACATACATACATATACATTTATACATATATATATATGTATATATATTGTGTTATTAGTATGGGTGTGTGCCTATATGGATAAAGGTTTGCCTATGAACATATTTGGATGGAGGCCAGAGGGTTATATCGTGTGTCTGTGCTCATTTGCACTCCAGATTTATTTATTTATTTATGTATTTTTTTCTTTCATGTATATGGAGTGTTTGCTTACATGTATATGTATATACTGCATGCTTTCCTGTCCCTGTGGGTGTCAGGTCTCCTGGAACTAGAGTAAGACAGTTGGGAGGCTGCCATGTGGGCACTGGGAACAAAACCTGGGTTGTCTGCAAGAGCACCGGATGCTCTTCTTAACTGTTGAGCCATCTCTTCAGTCCCATCCAACTTTATTTTTCGATACAGTCTCTAGTTGTATCTAAGCTTCATTAGTTTGACTAAGCTGGCTGCTAGCCAGGGAGCTTCAGGGATGAGAGATCAACCTCCTCCCATATTTTTGGATTTATTCTCTTATATTAGTTGCTTGTTAAGTGTTTTATTTTTGGTTAGGTATAAATTCTTGAGGGGAAGTATCCTAGACCTCTGAATTTTATATATTAATTGTATAGTAGAGGTTGAAGAGGGATTTGTTGAATTAGTTGAAAATATTTAGTAATATTAGCATAACATAATAAAGGAACTCCGTCTTCTTTTGTATCTACTGTGTGCCAGGAATTATAAGTAGCTATATATAGTCTCATCTCATTTTTAAAGTATGAATTGGGTACTGTTAAAGCATAGTGGTTCAGTGACCAGTATAAGAACCTCAGCTAGAAACTGGAAGTGCTGCATTCTGAACCAGGACGATCCCAGAATTTCTGTCCTTAACTATCATGCAACATTGTATGTCTTGTTGAGAGAAATAGTGTGTTAGATTGCTAATATTGTAAATTACAAAAGTAATATTTTCTGCCATCAATACTTTATTATGAAACACCCACATTTAGAGAGAAACTGAAGGAACTATACAGTGAACACACATTTTCTTTTTTTCTTTTTTTTTAAAGTTTGGTACATTTACCTTATCACATACTTAACTACCTTGTATCCACTTTTTTTTTTTTTTTTTGGCAGCATTTCAGAGTCATTTGACAACATACAACTTTAAACACTGTAGCTTAGGTCATTAGTGAAGTTTTGTTTTGTTTTTCTTTTTTCCTATGATACTGGCTCGGTTCATAGCTGATGGTGCCTTGTAAGGTATTGGATCATCAATACTGACCCATTTGGTGGATTCATGATTGGATGATTATTGGGAGGTGGTAGAAACTAGGAGATGGGCTAGTTGGAGGAAGTAGGTCACGAAGAGTGCTCCGGAACACTAATTTGTCGTGTCCCCCCTCCCCCAACAACTAGTCTCTGAGTTGAGCAGCCTTCTCTGCCACATGCTCTTGCTCGCCTCACCATAGGCCCATAGCAGCGAGGCCATCCACGCATGGCTTGAAGTCCTTTAAACCTCTTTTATTTTATCAGGCTTTGAAAACTAGGTATGTAGCTAATGTTAGAATAGTTGCCCAGCATGCTCGAGGCCCTAGGGTTGATTGTTAATACAGAAAGGGGTAGGGTGGGGAAGGGTCTTCATCTCCATCAACATAACTAAGGTAGGGAGACAGAATGAGATGTCAAGTTTGAAGTTAAAATTTTGGACTAGTCAACTCGGTGATTGCTTTATCGATTTAAACTTGTTCTTTCTTGGGAAATTAGTTATCATCTTACAGATTCTTAGTCAAGGAGATAGAATGTATATGTGTGGGGACCACATAGTTTAAGATGTGGCAAGGAAGAAATAAATTACTTACTCATTCTTATAGACTTTTTGGGTTCCACCATGGCTGATCACAAAGTGTGTAGCATGAACCACTAGGCTGCTTACCAAGAACTGACCTGAGGAACAGGACTGTTGATTTTCTAAAACCTCCTGAGTGGTTCCAGCTGACAGTTCTTATTGTTTCTACATCAGACTCCATTTATTTAGACCTTTGCATGTAACTCTTTCCTCTAAGGAAACCATTTGATTCTCTCTCCTCTCTCTCTCTCTCTCTCTCTCTCTCTCTCTCTCTCTCTCTCTCTCTCTCTCTCTCTCTCTCTCTCTCATTGATTGATTTATTGATTTGAGATAAGATCTTGCTCTGTTGCCCAGGCTGGCCTCTAACTTGTAATTCTTTTGTTTCAGCTTCAGAATGCTGGGTTTACCATTCACCTGGCTAAAGCCTGTTTCTGTACCAGATGAAAGTTGTTTTTGCCTTAGTCACTAGGAAGACCAAGTCCAAAAACTATTTTATTGTTCTGTCAGTGCTGCCTAATCCTTAATTATGAATTATTTAAAAACACTCTAGGATTCGGTTTAATCTTTGCAGACACGCATAATATTGTATTAATTTCTAAAGGTTCTTGAAGTCTGTGAATCATATTCTGGACCTTTGAGGTTTAGAATCTTGGCTTTTTAATCATTTGACATCCGATTTAGCTGTTCTGCACAGAAGAATGTATTCTACCGTCTTGATTCTATAGAATTGGGCTCTATGTAATTATAGCCGCGTTGTTTTTTAAAGTTCTGGGCGCCAACCACTTGGCCTTCATTTGACAGCCAAGACTGTGGGGCGGGAGAGGCAGCCCTCTCACGTGCTAGGCAAGTGGTCTGGAGCTGCGCTGTATCCTGAAGGGAAATACTTTTGTTTTTCCACAAGAAATTTTTGGCCCCTAAAATAACAAAACGTGTTAGTCAATATAAATGGCTATTAATTCTTACCTGATCATTTTTTAGAAAAAGCACTTGTAGCTTTGGTAACTAACTCTGCTTTAACTATAATTACCAGAGTCTCGGATAGCGGTGTGCTCCCCAGGCACAGTTGTGAATGACTGTGCAGTGTAGTTTGCCCTTAGCTTCCACTCTCTCTGCACATCTTCCCTGTGCTTCTAGGTAAAGTCTGTTGAAATTTGAAAAACGGCATTGAGAATTGTTTCTGGAGCTGTGGTTTTAAAATATGGTTCCCATGGAAGAGATGAGTCACTAGCCGTTGCCAGTTAATGTTGTTCAAGGTGCCGTTAATGCTGATTTCTAGCAGGGATTCCTTTGAGGCCTTCGGTTAGGCTTTGTTGCCAGACTGGGTGGAGGCCCGGGGTTGGGAGGGGTGGAGGCATAATTTATGGGCTCTGCGGGTTAAGATTCTTCATTATACTTGCCTTGGAGATAGTGGAAGGGAGGCTAAAGATTTGTTTACAAATTTTTCTAAAACATCAGTTGGGGAAGAGGAAGGTCAAACTTGCATGGAGGAAAGCTGTTTAGAATAGTTAACACCTCACCTTTTCTTTCTCTGTAAAGATAATTGGTTGTGCATTTTGTGCAAGCATGTTTGTACCTGGTTGGTCAGGCACATTTTATAAAAGGAGTGTGGGATCACTTTAAAAACATTGAGAGAAATACCTTCTTTGTATTTCAGTGGGGACCTAAAAGTCTGTGGTCATCCAGGCAATCTGAAAACAACCGTTAGAGAAGTCAGGTGTGACTCCATGGGGATTTGAGGTTAAAATAAAAGAGAATTGTATTAATAATTTCTATTTTTAGTTCCGTAAAGTATGGGAATTTGCTCCATCTGTAAGATGTAAAATCACCATTACTGATGCTAGCTAGTGTCAGTGGGATTATTCTTGATAGGAAAGCGTATGCTGTGCTCCCCCCTTCCCTCTGCAGTAGTTACTGGGTTTCTGCCGTGAGAACTCTCAGAGCCTCTGCTCCCAGGAATCACTGAGTGTTGGGGAGGAATTGGCTTCCCTTTGTGTATGTGGAGGGCTAGTGTGGTCTACAAGGTGATGCTGGGATCTCTCCACTCAGGTGGAGGCCAGGTTTCTCTTTGTGTGTACACACACAGAGGCAGAAGAGGCTGTGGGTTGTCCTTTTCTCTCTCTGCCTTGGACTTCTTTGAGGCCAGGTTTAGTTTTGAATCCAGAGCTAAGGGGTTTTTGCTGGGCTGACAGCCTGTAAGCCCTGGCAATCCTATCTTCCCACTTCTTGTGCAGGGGTTACAGGTGTGTAACATACTTGTAACACGTGTAACATGCTTGACTTGTTATGTGGTGCTGGGATCCAAACTCCGGCCCTTGTAGATGCACTGTAAATGGCATCTCTCCAGCCCCAGGTTGGGCAACTCTGTCAGTCTTGGGGCTGGGTGAGCAGGAGGTTCAAACAGTGTGAGTCATTCATGGCAGTTGGTACCTAGAAGGCAAGATAGTTTCTGCGTTCACACTGCCTAGGCATAGCAGTCTGTCTGAGGTTATTTAAGCCAAACAAAATCACCAGTAAACAATCTTCTTTTCCCATTCACACCTCCTGAGCTGGCATCTAGGGTAGAGGAGGCCACACTGAGGCTAACATTCCTAGCATGGTTAGCACCTATGGACTGCAGGCAGGAGTGGTGTGCAAGGTGATCTGGGCATTTGTCCACTGAAGTAGAGGCCAAGTGTCAGTTCATTAATTCCACGTACCAGGGTGACCTTTCAACTGTTTCAGGCTGTGGTAGTCTGTTGTCCAGGAGGATTCAGAGGAGCAACCAACCCCAGGGCTTATGAGCCCTACTTCCTATCCATTGGTTAAAGCTGTGATAACTGGATTTGAGTGGCAGCTTTTTAGTGTGGTTGGTTATATGTTGTGGTCCCCCCCCCCCCCATTTCTTAGCCAAATTTTGCCTCTGAAAAAAGACAGGTAATGATTAGCTGCCCTTTTTTCATCAGACCCTTTTGACACTGAGAAACAGCATGGTACAGAACAGTTGTTCATTTTATTTCTGTCTCAAATGCTGCCTATTCAGGTTTTCCCTGTCAGCACTTGCAGATTTCAGGGGAAATTATAAACAAAGGAGACATTTGTTTTTTACAGTATACACAATTTTAATAACAAAACTTTCCTGTACACTGTATTATGGTTTCCTCACCCCAATTCCTTGTATAATAGTGTCTCCCCCCCCCCCATCCCCCATGGCTCTAAAAGATAATTGAACAAATGTGTTTGGACTGTACTTTGAGTTTCTAGTCCCATGTTCATAGATTCACCAAACATTCCATGTATCATACTGATTTTAAAAACTCAGGGAAGAAAAGGTTAGTTGAAGGAGTTGGAGACGTTTCCAGATGTCTGCAATAGTAGAATGAGAAAGCTTCTGTGGTCGTTTTCTGATTTTGACCTTATTCAAGCGCTGTGAATTTGCCCAGGTTAGCTAAAGATATACTGATTATCTATAGATGACCCATGTTGTCTTAAAAACCAACAAACACCTTTTCTGGTTCAAGCGCTTTAACTGAGAAGATAGGAAGAATGTGTCCCAAACAGACTTGAGATAGTGCTGCCATCAGATTGCTGTATTAGGAAAATTATCATGTAAGTTAGCTGTTAAAAGATTCTTTAAAATTATCTATAGGAGGGAGAGAGAGAGAGAGAGAGAGAGAGAGAGAGAGATTGATTTATAGCCCCACCTCCTTAGAGCTACGTGTGGGAAGTATGACTTAAGAAAATAAGACTTTCCTATTTCAGAACCCAGACTAGTACTGCATAGAGCTTGCCCTTATTAAAAAGATGGGGTCTAGCTTTTAGTGACTAGCGTTATAATAAGAGATGGATTTTAATAATTAGTGAGTGGAATTAGGAAGTGCAGTCAGTTCCATTCATTGAATTGGTACAGAAATTAACTTAGACTTATTAAGAAATTACATGTGGTAATGCAATTTTTTTGGCTTAAAAATTAGCTCCTGCTTTTTGATGCTGGCAGTAAGTATTGTGAGTTTTGTGTGGATTTTCAGACTTACCAGCCTGCTCCTTTTTCAGAAAGGTAAACTTGAATTCCCTGTAGGCTATAGAAATGAGTAACAGAAGTTGCAGACTAATTCTTAGTTCCTAGGGAGATGCTTCGTTTTTTCTGAGATGTTATTTTTCTGATTTTTGATGGTCATTTTCCACTAACCTTTAAAATTGGGGAGAGGGGAAGTTGGGTGGTAATGCTTAAGAGAATAAAACTCCACCCCAAAGCCCTCACATTTGTGACTAGGAACTACATACAGTTTTGTTGTGAGGCAGTTCTCCTCTGGCCAGTTGGTAGCACAGATACTGTAATACAGATATATATATATCTCAACTAAATGGACCCCTGCTTTCTGGAGGCAATTAGAAATGGCAATTTGTGCTTTAACTATTACCAAACTATTACCATTACCAAAAACATGGGAGGGAAAAAATAAACAAATAAATAAATGTGCGTTCCCCCTCCCCCCATGCCTCAGTAGCCTTGGCACTGCTCTTCAGGTGTTAAATGGCTTGCTCTGCTACATATACTTTATTAACTATGTCCTTTAAGATTAATTGGAGTTCCTAGTTAACATTGCTTACATTTTAACTCACAGTTTGAATTCATTTTGGTTGTGATTTGAAAGGATGAAAAACACTCATCCTTTAGGGCCATTGGAATCTTGTATGCTCAAAGCTGTACTGTGAACAAGCTGTCTGTCACCTGACAAATGGCAGTGGTCACCATGATGCATGAGTTGGTAAATTTTAGCCCACCTTGGTGGGGAAGCAGCGTGCTGTGCTCTGTGCCGGAAAACCAGCATCTGTCTTGGCTCAGACAAGCCCAGCGTCTGTGTTATCAGGAGATGAAATGCTTGCCACTCAAGAGCAATGGAATTGAACTGCTCTAAGGCTTTGCCAAACTAATCTTTCCACCTTAAAAAATAGAAAGAACATGTATTTTCACTGTAATCTGAATATTGTCTGCTTTTTGCTAAGAGATTTGAAATGTGGGTGTCTTTTTCAGTGCTAAAGGAGGAAAATTGTGATTGAATCTAGGTCTGTACTAACATTTCAATTCAATCTTGGGGAGAAAATAAGCTTTAAGGGAAGGATATCGTGATAAACATACTTGTTAAGGAAAGGATGCCTCTTTTTTATGTTAGTGACTTTCTTTAAGGTTTCATGCATTTTTTTTCCACATAAGAATGCTTGTTTTTTTTTCTGAACTCAAGTTAATGATTTAATTTTGATTTTCTCCTATACGTGGAACCTTCAATATGCCATTGTTTGCCTTAAAGAAGTCACAGTTGAACACTTGGGTTTTCCTCATGAAAACTGTGGCATCGCTGTCATTTGCTGATAGGATTGGAGTGTTCATATTTATTCCGAACATATTAGAGCCTCCTCCTGTATCGTACGGGTCCCTGAGCATCGCTTATGTGGTGCAAATTGTGCATAATCACATTTGCTGCTGCTTCACTTGCACTGAGCTGAGAGTCAGACTTCCAGAACCTGTCTTTGCTCTTACCCCTCGCTTTCACACTCCCTTCACTTTCTGGTGTGTGGCTACAGGGCCTATGGCAAGAGTTCTGCCTTAAGATTTGCCTCAGAAATAGGTTGGTTCTGTCTCAGAGGGAGCTAGCAGTAGAAATGTGCATATTTATGAAAGGGCAAGCTTTAACATCATATTTTGAAAGTAATTTTTCATTGTTTCTTTATAACAAGAATCAGTGTTAGGCATCTTTAGTACTCAGTTATTTTTAATTTGGGTCTTTGAGGTTTAAAGATCAGAAAAAGGCAGAAGGAAGAAGCTTAGACAGTTTGTCAAGGCATCTTTAATCATGGGAGGGGATATATTTTCAAACTGGATGGAGTATATCAGGATTGTTAAGTTGACTCAGTTTTTCTCTTTCCCAAATGCAAGTTTTCACATAAGTATAGGATTTAGTAAGTTAATTAGTAAAATGGTAATTTAATAGTAGTTTAAAATAATAGTCTAAATGCCACAAAAATCAGCATGTCCATTAAAAGTCAAACTAGAGTTGTATAAGAAGTCAGTGTAATTATTTAGTATTGATTTATTATAATGAGACTTTTTTTTTTTAAATAATTGCTTGGGTTTTATTGTTGAAAATTAGAGAGTCACCCGGTCTTATTAGAGTTATATAAAAGGTGCTGGTTTCATGATGTAACTTAGATAATGTCTATTAAACCAGGCCAAACTCTGAAAGAAGGATGTTTAATATTTACCAGTCTCAAGCACACATGTAAGTCCACCTCTCATCCTGGCAGTAAATTATAGTTGGAGTAAATACCACATTATCTTACAAGAGAACTTTGCTGTCTCCTTTTAAGCAGGAAGCCAGTTGTGGTCCATGGGGTGGAGAATAATAATCAAACAGGTTTTCATCCCTATCTATTTTTGTTTAGTATTTTCTTTCGGAACTGTTTTCAGTAGAAAAAAAAATAACATGGAGACCTTAGTGTAAATGTTTACATACAATAGTATATAATACATACATGAAATGTTTTATATTGAAGTAAGCATTTAGACTTCCCAACAAGAGTGCAAATTAATATGAGCATTGCTTCATTTAACACTTAAAATATGTTTTCATTAAAAAAATTAAAAATACTTCAACACTTCAAAAACTCAAGTCTCCACTTGGTTTGGAAAATTAGGCTTAATGTCACCAGTGATAAAAATTAGATATGTATTTAGCCCCTACTATGTAAAATAGGTTACTTATCTGATGTGATTTTTGATGATGAGTAGATATTATACTTCACATTCTTTGTATGGCAGCTGCTGACACTTGCACTGTCCATAACCATTAATGATGATGAAAGGTCCTTCATGGGTGGGTTCATACTCATTATACGGTCCTTGGTCTGACATATTTGACATATGGAGTCGTGTTTGGGATCGGAGCTGCCTGTGGTTCTGAATCATTGAGCACTGCCTAATTCTTCTTAAAGTGGGAGGGCAGCACTTCCTGGAAATGAACACTATAAAAATAATAAAAAAGAAAGAAAACAATAAAGCCATTGTTCCCGTAATTACTCGCTGAGTAAAGATGGCATTGTCTGGTTCAGGAAAGTGTTCCTCTGTAGTAACAGCTATGCCTGCAGTAGTTGGAATTTCTTTGTCTCCTACATGGTAACTTGATGAGCTTATTCTTTTTGTATATTCAGTGGTTGGATCTCTATAAGTTGTAGCCATGGCCGTGACAGTGGTTGATAAATTCCAGCAGAGCTGAAACCCGTGGACTGCATCTAGAATATCCTCTCCTTGGGTGTGGTCAGGGCTATGGCATAGGATGGAATGCTCCCACCGACCTTGGAAACTGCCCAGCCAGGAGGCCAGAGCACATACTCGGGGGCTGCATTCCCACAGATTGCCTGAGAGGCCAACGGTTGTGAGGGATCTCAGGGAGTTTAAGATTTTGGAATCAAGACTGTTTAACTTGTTGTTATCCATGAGGAGTATTTTAAGATTAGGCATGGTTTCAAACACTGTTAAGTCGATGGCTTTGATTTCATTTCCAGTTAGGTCTAGCTTTTCTAAAGTGCTCCAGGTCCACTCCATCCCACACGTCAAGTTGCTGATTTTGTTCCATTGTAAGAAGAGTGTGTGCAAACTGCTTAGCCGGAGGAAATGAGCAAAATTAATCTTTGTCAGCTGGTTGTGCTCTAGGTGAAGCTCTCTCAGTTTGATTAATCCTGCAAATCCATTGCGAGCCAAACTTCGCAAACGGTTTGTGCTCAAATCCAGAAACTCTAGACTACGACAGTCCCAGAACAGGCGTACTGGGATAGTCCGCAGGGAGTTGGAACGCAAATGCAAGGTCTGCAGCTTCCGAAGGCCATAGAAGAGCTCAGGATGCAGAGATGACAGCTGATTAAAAGACAGGTCCAAATTTTGCAGGTTAATCAGTTGGGTAAAAGTTGTGTTTGGCAAGTAAAATATTTTGTTGGAACTTAAGATTAACTCCTTAAGTTTATATAGTCCTTGGAAAGCATCTTCTTTTACTGTTGAAATTTGATTGTGATCTAAGTGGAGCCAGGTGAGTTGACTGAAGCTGGCAAATTGATCTCTTTCAAGCGCTGTGATGTGATTGTGCCTCAGGGACAGCCCCAGAGAACCCTTGTCTGTGGCGTTTGGCACTGAGTGGAAGCCCTGAGAGTCGCAGTAGAATAGCAGCTTCTCACAGCGGCATTTGGGTGGACACGCCATACCCAGGGCAGGCAGCATTTTCAAAACCACACTCATTGCATATATTGCTGCCAGCATAGGGGCCCCTAATGGCCACTTGAAATGTAAGCCTGCAGAATATAATTTAAGGAAAACAAGAAGATAGGATATGTTTCAGCAGAACACAAGGGCTGTTGAAAACAACAACAATGTAACATCATAATGAAAGATTTTACTGCATGGAACATTTTTCATTTACTGCAGAAAAATTAACCTTGTATACTGGAACACAAAACTTAAACCCATGTATAAAAGACATTAAAACATGTCCCTTTCCTTAGTGTTATATGCCTTTACGTAAATCTTAAAATCCAAAAGCAAGTGATTTGCATCATAAAATAGGAATTCACTGGCTTATTTTATAAAAGCGTGATTCCTCTTTGATTGCACAAGAAAGGCCATAGAAATGCATGGACTTACCCATTCTTCTGAGCACATTGGAGGCTGCATTCAGTCGAGGTTGTCAGACTCAAGGCTCTAACATGCAGGAGCCTTTGACCGGTTTCCTGTTTTCTGTGTCCCAGGCTTTCCAAGTGAAATTCAGATCTGCCAGGGTGAATGGGTTTTTCCTTAGGATATTCCTCTGGATAGAATCGGTTTCATTTTCTGTGGTGCTCTGATCCCCTAAATCCGCTTTGATTATAAGTTAATAATTTCCTCCTCCTCTGATTACTGCTGATCATCGGCGCTTCAGGCTTTCCTTACCGCAGCTGTTAGCTCTCTCGGTCTTAACTTGTTGATGGCAGATGGGCGGCTTGTTGCAGAGAAGAGCTTCTGGAGCAGCATGAGTGCATTTACTGAAAAGCTTTTCCGAGAAACGGCACAAGAATGAATTTGCTTATGTGCTGCGACCACACAGGACTGTATATAGGCTGACGTCACCGGGTGACGTGTCTTTTGTTTGGGTTTTCCAGAAGCTTTACTGTTAAAAGGCACTGTGCTTTGTAACAGTGTCAGGGTCGTTACAAGACCCCCTGTTTACAATAAATTGAGAAAGAAGAACTCCCGACTTAAGAATTTGGTATTCCTTCAGTGTAGGAAGCAACAATGAGGTTGTAATAAATGCTGCATTCAAGAAGACCCATCTGAACAGTGAGTTGGTCTAGCAGAGTGATGATTTTTAATGCGTGTGAGAGCTAGTGTTAGACTGCCGATTCTGCATAGAGATCATCTAAATGGGCACGATTGATTTATGAAGTGCTGATTTAATGCCAGCCTATGCAAGGTACGACGCCTCTGCTCTGGTAGTTCGAAAAGCTGCTCAATTGCCTTGTTGTCCTGCTTGGTAAAAAGCAAAGTATGACTGCGTTGGTAAACTAAGTGGGCTGAGGTTTTTTTGTCATTAAGAACTTAACATTATAAAGCAGAACAAAGGGTAGCTTCCAAAAGAAACCATTTTGGCTTTTTTCCCTCCATTCAGAATTTCAAGGGAACTCTAAATAATCTTTTTCTGCTTATTATATAACAATGTTTTATTACCACACTGATTGGAAAACAGTGCAGAGTTGATCTTTGGATGTCCTACCAGAAGAGTGGAGCAGATTGACAACCATCATTTTTATACACGTGACCCAGATGTTAGCAGTGGAATAGACACAATTTTGAACAAGTATTGTAGTGTGCTTAGATTCTGACACAGTCTTCAGGATTTCTACTTCAACATCTCACCTATTCCTTCATTGAAAGCTGCAGTTGCTGCTGAGATTGGGGTGTTGTCAAACCAGAATAACAGAGCCTTTGCACACTATCTCTTCCTGGCACACTTACGAACTGACTTTCAATCTCATAGCAGCTCTTGAATTCCTCTCATGAATATGAAAGGGCATTTATATCGGAATAGGATTTTGTTTTGGTCGTTTTTGCTGGACAACTCTAGCTTCTCCCTGTTAGATAACTCTTCAGACATGAATGTTTATGGTTGTTGTTATATAAATGCATAAGATGTGTCTAGCATGTATCGGGGATATATTTGCAGGCCAGACTAAGGGACTGCCTCTTACATACATATCTTTGTCTTGCTGATCTGGCTGCATGAACTTATTTTCCCCATACCATTACCACTTACCCTTAGTGAGCCTTGTTTCAAATCTGAGAGCAGAAATCTCAAAAAGTATTGATGTCCATGAAATAAGCACATCACTGCTCTGTGGTCTTCTGAGGACTTCATTCCACAGTGAATTCTAAGAAGGCATTATCTAAAGAGATAGAGTTTTGTGTGTTTTGGAGTAGGGCTACCCTGGGGATGACTAGAAGACTCTTAAAAGTCTCTTACTTGGGGTCATGTGTAAAGGTTTTGTGGAAACTCTAGTAATGTAAATATGTCCTTTTCAGCTTTTCTAAAAGTGACCCTAAGATGGGTTTAAAAGTGTAAGAGTTTTGTTGAAGGCAGTGAATGCCTAGACAGCATGAGAGAGAAGGCAGCAGTAATACTGGAGGGGTCAGTAAAGTCTTTAGACCACATGGCACATTGACACCAGTGAAGGGAGAGGTGCACAGACTCTGTCAGACTGCGATGCACTCAGTTTCCCTGGCCACGTTCAAGTTATCATTCTCAGGAGTGAGCTTTGCTTCACAGTTACGTGTCCCACCATGATGCCGACTTCTGTTGGCCTTCATCTTTCCTCTAGTACCTTTCTGTACTCTTGTGTTTCTTAACCTTGCTCTTTGTGTAGGTGGGACTATAAAGTGTTGTTGCTGGTTGAGTTTTCTGTAGATATATTTTAATCAGATCCTACTGAGTCTGTGAGCCTAGGTTTCAGAAACACTGTTCACTGTGAGCTTGGCCCTAAAAGTTGCAAGGCATCATTAGTAGTTGAAAGGAAGCCCTTAGGATGTTGTCAGTGTCTTACTGAAGTCTGGCACATTCTGATGAAAACACGTACTATTCTCACGGGTCACTAACTGCCTTAGCTGTTTGGGTAGAAAAAGCATGTGAGTTAGTTGGATTAGATCATCCGTAGGAATGAGTTGTATGTGAAAACTGAGGAGGAGAAGTGTTTCCTTACTCTTAAACTCTTTTTTTTTTTTTTTTTTTGGTTTTTCGAGACAGGGTTTCTCTGTGTAGCTTTGCAACTTTCCTGGAACTCACTTGTTAGCCCAGGCTGGCCTCGAACTCACAGAGATCCGCCTGGCTCTGCCTCCTGAGTGCTGGGATTAAAGGCGTGCGCCACCACCGCCCAGCCTCTTAAACTCTTATAACACTTAGTTCCTTTCTGATTTTTAGTCTATTTGACCTCTTGTTAATGTATTAGTAAATTGAAACTATTCAAATTATATTCCTGCCTATTGATGTGCCTAGTGAACTGAAACTTTTTGAATTATATTGTCTCTGCTGTTCTGTCAACTTTTGAAGGAGGATGCTTGCTTAGACTTGCAATAGAAAGTCATGCTTTTTGTTTTGTTTTGTTTTTTTGTTTGTTTGTTTTGTTTTGTTTTTAAGTAAACCAGCCTCCCAAATAGCTGCTATTACCGGAGCCTGCTACCACTCTGAAGGGGTGGGCATTCCTACTTTTTGCATCAGAGTGACTGAGGAACACAGCCTTTTCCAACCCAGCTTGTTTTTCTCACTTGCCTACTTTTTGGGTTTTGAAGGCTGAGGTTGTGGCCCAAAAGACAGAATATTTACCTTAAAATTGATGTGTGTGGCAGAGATAGGCAGATGTCTGTGAGTTTGAGGCCAGCCTGGTCTACAGAGCAAGTTCCAGGACAGCCAGGACTACACAGAGAAACTCTGTCGTTTCCCCCCCCCCCCCAAAAAAAAAAGACAAGCCACCAATAATAACAAAAAACCCAACACACACATATACATATGTATACATACACACAGGTCTCATTGATAGAGTCATTCATTTTCCTCCATCTGGATATCATTGTTCTTTCTTTAAAAGATATATATTTTTTTTAATTTTATGTGTGCCAGTGTTCTGCCTGCATGTATGTATGTGAACCCAAGCATGCTTTGTTCCTGAAAGGTCAGAAGGAGGGTATCAGATTCCCTGGAACTGGACTTAGAGGGGTTTTCACTGCCATGTGGGTGCTTGGAACGAAATTCAGGTCCTCTGCAAAGAGTAGCAAGTGAACTCCTGAGCCATCTCTCCAGCTCCACCCTTGTTCTTTCTGAACTAGACTTTTTCTTCTTGACATGTTAGAGTAGCTTTATTCTGAACAAGTGGCAGCTCCACTTCTGGAAGATGGTGTTTATGTACACACCACTTCTGACTTCTTCAGATGTTAACATCAGGGCAGAGAAGGCAGAGATTAACCCAATGCTCGCCTATAAAATGGTTTTAAGGAAACTCAGCAAGTGGAGGTTATAGTTACTTGCATTCTTCCATGTGAAAGTTTGTTTTTAACAAATATGTAGGTGATTAGAAAGATTTACTACTTGAAGTGACATACAGGTATGTACATGAAACTTTCCACTCTTGTATAGTAGAAAATGAGCTATATATATGACACCATTTGTTTAATTGTGCCCATCTTAGGGTTTCTATTGCTGTAAAGCATGCTATGTGCTGTGAGAGCACTGTCAAGGGACAGGGAACTCGGAACTTAGAGTTGAAGTTGGCCAGTGGAAGCTTCCAGAAAGAGATGACTCTTATCTGAAGGAAAGATAGGGATCAGAATACAGTAAGTGAGAGAGAATGTGACAGATTTGGAGAACCAGAACACATATGGATAGATCATAGCATGGAGCGTGGCGAAGTGATCTTAGTTGTCAAAGTATTAGAAATGGCAGGTTCCTACAGGGATTGTATGTAGAATAAGAAGATGATGAGAGCTTCTGGCAGAAAAGCCTTAAGAAGACCATTATAGGTTCTTCAGCTGGGAACATTTCCCCCTTGTCAACAGAGGGCTGTTTTGTACTTAGGTTGAGTAGATTTTTATAGGTTTGCTTTGAAATCTACAGACTAAACTGTGCCTTGAGGTGCTACCAACAGTGTCAAAGCTTGTTGTTTTTGCCTTTGTGGCTGTTGTAGTTTTCATCTCTTTCATATCACGAGAGTTAAGAGTGGAGTCGGTACCTGCTGGGGTGTGGTCCATGCCTCAGGTGGTGCTGAGTGAGGCAAAGGCAGGTGGAGGACAGCCAGGGCTGCGCAGAGAAACCCGGTCTCGAAAAACTGGTTGGGGATGGAGTCGAGGAGTATGGAACTTTTTCCTCAATAAATTTTGACTACTGCTCTGACGTGGTATTTTATCATTAGGAACATCTATCATAGCACTCCATGATACTGGATATTACTGACTTAGGTATTGCTCTGAATTATTATTGTTGTATTATTGCTATTATTAATTATTGTGAGGCTGGGTCTCACTATATAGACCAGGCTGGCCTGGAATTCATAGAAATCCACCTGCCACCTGAGTACTCAGGACCATACTCTCCCCCCCCCCCCCCACCCCCCAGGCAGGGTTTCACTGTGTAACTTTGGAGCCTGTCCTGGAACTTGCTCTGTAGACCAGGCTGGCCTCAAATTCACAGAGATCCACCTGCCTCTGCCTTCGAGTGTTGGGATGAAAGGTGTGCACCACCACCACCACCACCACCACCACCACTCGGCCAGAATTATTTTAGATTCTAAGTCCTTTGTGAAAAGAATTATGGTTGGTCTTGCTCATTTTAGGAGTATGAAGTAGGCATGGAAGTTTGTCTGAATAAGTAGTAGTTTGTGACATAGGAGGAAGTTCTAGCAGCTTCTCTGTTTGATGAGATGAGAATTCCTAATTCCTAATGAGAATTGTACTGTTAGAGACGGACCCAGCTAGTAACCTTTGCCTCTCTTCAGCTCAGCTGGTATTTACTTGCTGAAGGGAGGCTTTATCCTGAAGCCTGAAATATGTCTGTTTTCTCAGGAAGCCCTTTGCCACGGCTAAACAGAGATACCCATATCAAAATGAAGCAAACACCCAGGGTTCTTCATGCAGTGCAACACAGTAGCTGAGAGCTCAGGACGCTTGCTTTAGTTTCTTTGTTGTGATAATCAGCACACAATTTCAACATCCTTAATCCAAAAACTTTAAATTCTCCTGAGTCCTAAAGTTTTTTTTGTAAAAAGTCTATACAGATATTTCAAAATGTAAAAGAAACTCAAGAGTTCTGAAATACTTCTGGTGCCTGGCATTTTGAATAAGGGATAGTCTGTGTGTGCCCCTTGGTTGCTTTTCTTTATGTTTGGGTTACTTTATTTTATAGATAACAGTTCACAGCAACTCAAATTTAAAAGAACAAATCCAATCTTATAAAGCAGTAAGCAGTTTTTTTGAGTTTTTAATTTTGTATGTGTAAATGTTTTCCATGCATACCGAGTGCCTACTGAGGTTAGAAGAGAGACTCTGATCCTCTGAAACTACACAGATGGTTATGATCCACTGTGTGGATTCTAGGAACTGAGCCTGGGCTCTGCAAGAGCAGCAAGTGTTTTCTCTTCTTAACCCCTTAATCTCTCTGCCTTCAGTAAACTGTTTTTACCAAGCTTAGTGTTCAGGTTGTGAGTGGTGTGGATGTATGTGTGTTATATCCCAATTACATTTTAGAGGATGACCGGAACCCTAAATGTGCTCTTTGCACCAAAAATTAATGGACAGAAAACGAGCAAAGAAACATGTTGACTTAAGTGCTCCGTCCAGGGCATTCTCCAAGGGTCAGTAACTGCATCCGAGCTAACTGGCCCTTTTTTGTTTTGTTTTGTTTTTTGAGATAGGGTTTCTTTGTGTAGCCCTGGCTGTCCTGGAACTCACAGAGTTCCACCCGCCTATCTCCAGAGTGCCAAGGATCAAAGGCGTGTGCCACCACTGCCTGGCCTGACAAACCTTTCTTGACTGAGGAGGCATAACCTTTTGTTTCTACAGTAACAAAAAGACAGATGGACTTATAGTTTAGCAAAGGCAGAATTAAGATTCATGGTGTGTGGTGGCATTGTGTCTTAAAGGGGATGCTCCTGTGTCTATGTAATTTCCTCAAGTCAGTTCGTGGATGTGATTTTTTTTATTTATTGTTTTATATGGATGGGTATTTTACCCACATATTTATTTGTGTGTACCTCATGAATACTTGGTGCCTTTGGAGACCAGAAGATGGTGTGGAAATGGAATTACAGACAGTTGTGAGCCACCATGTGGGTGCTGGGAATTGAACCTGGGTCCTTTGGAGGAGCAGCAAGTGCTCTTAACTATTGAGCCATGTCTCCAAACCCACATCTTATTCTTTGGAGATTGGGAAATGGCTCAGGCAAATCACTTGCTGTGCACACTCAAGGACCCAACCTCAGTTTGATTCCCAGGTTTGGTGGTGTACTTTTAGTATCCTAAAACTGAGGAGATAGAGACGGAGAATCCCAAAGCTTGCTGAGCTAAAACTAGCCAGCCTAGCTAAGTCAGTGACATATTCAGTCACAGAGCTGTCTCAGAAACCAGTGTTTGGGGCTGAAGAGACAGCTCAGCAGTTAAGAGCACTTGCTGCTCTTGCAGAGGATCCTGGTTGATTTCCAGCTCCCACATGACAATTGACAACAATCTCTAACTCCAGTTCTAGATCTGATGCCCTCTTCTGGCCTCTGTGGGTAAATATTCAGACAAAACACCCTACCCTTAAAAATAAAATAATTTTAAAAATTTAAAGCCCATTTTACTGTTGGTTCTTTTTTTATTTCAGCATTGCTTTAACGCTAAATAGAGACTTTGATTAAGATTTCTTGAAGTATACTCACACGAGCATCTGTTTATTCAGGCTGGACGCAAAGAAAGAAGTGACGCGCTCAACTCTGCAATAGATAAAATGACCAAGAAGACAAGGGACCTGCGCAGACAGGTATGCTTTACAAAAGTTACTTTTATTTCCTAAGCTCTCAGCTTTAGTTTTGATGAAAATTCTAATAAGTATAGGTTTTCATTTTTAATTAAGGGAAAGAGTAAGTCTTCAGAAAAGTGATTCTTTCTGTTCTGTTGCTAATAAGCTTATTAATGTCTAAAAAATCTCAGAGGGATGTTGACGATTATGTTCCCTCTGGGGTGGACTGAATAAATTAGCTCCAGTGTGAAAAGAATGTATAGGCAGGAAAATCAGTTTCAGATGACTTGGGGACCTGTGAAAACAACCTCAGAGGATCTCATTGTGTTGGCTTCCATCCATTAGATTCCAGTTACTCACGTGTCCACCCATTCTGTGTATATATTGTCGGTTTGTTCCCACTGCTGGAAAAGTCCTTCTATCTCAAGGACAGTAATGTTGGAGATACTGAATTTTCCATGTTAGTACATTAAAAAATCTGTTCCTTTAATGATACATAATTCCCATTAACATTTTGAAATTAAATTTTGTGTTAAAGTTTTTAAAAGAAGATAAGAGTTGGCTTTATAAATATGTAGTATAATATAATAAGACTTAAGTTATAGTGAGAATTCGGACAGTTTTCAGGAATTAGTAGAGACATTTTATTGTTCATAGCAGATAGAAAACAAAACTAAAAATTGATGTGCCTTTAGTGAACCAAGTGTCAGCAATGATTAGAAAGATAACATTTAACATTTATAGTGCATAACCCTATAGTGTAGATAAACAAGAGAGTGCTCTTTTTTCTTTTTTCATTTAATTTTAACTAATTAGGCTAATTACATATATTCTAAAGCTATGTACCAGTTCAATCCAGAACAGTGTTTTGATCCCATTTAGTTTTGTAAGTTTTAAGGAAAGAAAAAAGGTCCTGTTGTGAGAACTGGAATTCTGCTGCTAAAGTGCTGAGTGTAGTGTAAAGCATGGTCTCTGCAGCCCTTTCTTCAGCTTGTTCCAGTGCATTGCTTACATGGGGGACCTAGCTGTGTAAGTCCTGCCTGTCTTTCCTAGGCTTCTGTTAGATGTATTATACCACAGTTTAACTTCTTAGTAGAAATAAAATCACATTTATACAATTGAATTATTAGCTTCGCAAAGCTGTCATGGACCATGTGTCAGATTCTTTCCTGGAGACCAACGTCCCGCTTTTAGTCCTCATTGAAGCTGCAAAGAATGGAAATGAGAAAGAAGTTAAGGAATATGCCCAAGTTTTCCGTGAACATGCCAACAAACTGATTGAGGTAAGTGCGTTAGTGGTCTGTTTAACATAGGTAACTTGGTGATTTAACTAGCTCTACGTTTTCAAGGACTCACCTAATACACATTTGCAGTCTTTCAGTTATCACTGGGTATCCATTATCACTCGTGTTTGTCAGTTTACATTGATTACATGGATAGCTTTTGTCCTAGAAGCTTTTAACAACCACCACTTACTGGTAATGCAGGTCAAGTGAGACCACCATAGTAAGACTTACACAGCGCAGAAAGTGGCCGCAGCTGCGGACTGGTGCTCTGCTGAGAAGAAGCAGCAGCCGGGCTTCCGTCCCAGCAGCCACCTAGTTCTCCTTAGTTCCCATGTCCTGTCTATAAAAGGAGGTTACTTATAATACCATGTTCTGAGGACCAAAAGAATGATAGGTATGTTAGATGTTTCACCTTATGTTCAAGGTAGACTCCGGCTCAGTCCTGTTTTAAGAGTAAACAAGCCCAACATCAGCTAAATTAGACATACTTTTATACTAGAAATGTGTGTAGAAATGGTTGGTTTGTAAAATAATTAGAAATGGTGAATTGCCACTTAAAGTTTCTTCATTTGTTAAATGAATTTATATTGATTAATTAATTAATTAGTAGTATAGACTCACAAAACATAACATTAGTACAGAAACGAATAATTGATAAATATTTCAGAGGCCCATTGGTAAGTGGTCATTATTTAAAAGCAGAGTGGAAAATGTGATTTATAATAACACCGCCCAAGTTAACACTATAAAAATACTCCAAGGACCTGGGTGGTGGAGCACACCTTTAATCCTGGCACTTGGGATGCAGAGGTAGGCAGATCTCTGAGTTCGTGACCAGCCTGGTCTACGCAGCGAGTTCCAGGACAGCCAGGACTACACAGAGAGACCCTGTCATTCAAGGAAATACCAGTAATCACACTAAACACCTTACTAACTTTACACCTCATTTTCTTTGAATATCGACTCAAGTGTTTTTCTGAGCAGAATTATGTACAGAATGCATAGGTCAGCCTGTCAGTCAAGTTAATGATTCTGACATTTGGAACTAAAATTGGAGAGTTTCATTTGTATCTCCATCAAGCATAATATGGTTCACAGCAGTCATGTGACAGTATGAGATGTAATTTCCAAGTGGACAGAAATTATGTTCAGGAAACCAGTCTCCTCTAAGTAGCCTTCTTATTACAGAGTTCCTTTGAGTGATAGGCTCAAGGCCTGGAGCATCAGTGTCTGGAGAGAGGGCAGCTCTTGTCTGTCCCCACACGGAGGGCCCTTTGTTAGGCCAGTTACCTCATGCTCTCTCACCAACCAGACATAGTTACTATTGGCTGAGCACCTGTGGTATACAGCACCGTGTACTTTCTGTAATCCTTTTCACGTGGAAACAGGCTTGAAGAGCTGCTCCCAACTTGTACACCTCTACTGTGGCAAGGCTCTCCAGCAGAGCAGCTCGTGAGCTTATTGGTCCATTGGACTAACAGATTGGGAAACAATACCTGGGCTGGGCAGAGTGGTGCACGCCTTTAATCCCAGCACTCAGGAGCAGAAAAGGCAGACCTCTGAGTTCAAGGCCAGCCTGGGCCACAGAGTTAGTTCCGGAACAGCCAGCAGTACATAGTACGACCCAGCCTTGAAAAAAACAAAACGCAGTTGTGGGGAGAGAGGGAGGCTATGAATCGATCATTAACTGCACTTGAGAGACTTGGAAACTTTTCCAGACCCAAACATTTCATTTCGTTCTGAACACAGTCTTGGGAAGGTAGAATGTGCTGCTGTTCCTCCGCACAGCTCAGTTCTGACCCTTTTCTCACCTCCCTTCCCGCTGCATGCCCTCTGCGCTCATTACCTTCTACATCTTACCTGTGTATGAAGTGACAGAGGGTTTTCATTCCTTGAGGCGTAACCCCAGGCTATGGAGTGCCGTTCTGCAAACAGTTATGATTATATTGATGATAATTGAGACAGTAAGATATGTAATTACCATGTCCATGAAAAGGAAATTAATTTTTAAAGTGTTAGAAGCCTCGGATTCCTAACTCAAGGCAGAACTTCTTTTTCCATGACAAGACTTCTCCTCCCTACAACCTTTGTATTATAACGACACACCTTGAACTAATCAGAGCCTTGGTTTTTTAGCAAAGGTAAAATGCTTTGGTGTGTTTTATTAATCCCCTGATTTCATTTCTTTTCATTAGTTGTTTTCTAGCTGAGGTAAATGTCTACAGGCCAACTTTGATGTGAGAACCTCCTTTCCCTGTTGGTTCAGCAGAATTAAGAACAGTGTATAAAATATATACATGGCTGGTGGTGTATGCATATGTGTGTGTGTGTGTGTGTGTGTGTGTGTGTGTGTGTGTGTGTGTGTGTATATATATATATATATATTATATATAAATAAAATAACTGGAAAGGAGAAGGTCAGCTTCTACAACCACTAAGAATATTTGTGGGTGTGTTTGGAAGGAGTGACTTTTCTGAAACACTGCAACAGAGTTCTGATACTAACTGCCAGGAATTAGTATAAACCTGCAGGGTAAGGTCAGAGGCCACAGCAAGATAGGGCTCCAAGATACTACCACTCTGACCAGCTTGCCTCAAATCCTAGGCATTTTTATAACCTATTTCTGGTTTGATAATTGACTAGAACAACACATACTTACAACATTTTATTTGGAAGGCACACTTTTAGTCAGGACCAGTCAAATTAAGAAACACATAGGTTGGAGCTCGGAAAAAATTTTTGTCCCCTACAGATGGAATTGGGGCATTCCACCCGTCTGTGGCACTGGTAGGTGTACCAACCTAATTGCTCCCATGAGTCTCTATGTCCAGAAATTTTGTTCAAGTTTCGTTATGTATGCGATTATGTGATTGATGGATCTCACTCTCACTCTCCCCAGGTCAAGCTGGCCTCAGAAGCTCCAATTATTTAATCAGAGGGTTGATTCCCTATCCCAAGTAACCCCATTAGTGTAAACTATCAGTTTTGGCCTGGGTAACTGAGGGACTACTTTTATAAATTCCAAAAAGTTGAGGAATATTTGGATTTTATGATGAATCAAAAGTAAAGCCAGACACATTACATAATACATGGTACTGTGTGCTTCAGTGTACTGTGAAGTCACGTCACATGCATGGTTTTAGTAGGTATCTTGAGCACACAGTTGGCCTAGCCTGCTACATAGAAATCCCACAGCAGAGGTGAAGGCTGCTGAGTTTGTTTCCCCCTAGGTCCATTTTATGATCTTCACCTATTCCCTTCCTACTTCTCTTCCCTGGCACGACTGGCTTTGAGCTTTGCTTTCCTTTGGAGTTTCTGACTTTAACAGTCAGATTTACTCTACTCTCCAGGGATCAAGTGGATTATTCAGTGTTTACTTCTCATCAAATCATAGGTTTTTATTCAGCCGTGTAAATCCCTTTCTGTGTAGCCTTTTTAAAGCATCATGTATGCTGAGCACTTGGGAGGCAGAGTCTAGGACTTCAAGGTCAGGCTGTCTGTGCAGTGAGTTCCAGGCTAGCTTGGGGCTACACAGTGAGACTCTGTGTAGTCTATGCTTCCCGCCCCCTCCCACAAGCTAAAACTCATGTGCCTTCTGGGACTCCTTCCCTCTTTCAGTCATAGAAAAGTCACTGTCTTCAAAGACAGTGTATACCACTTGTGGAGCGCTCTCTGACTGTTAGGAGACGAAAGCTATCATCTATTCCAGAACCTCACCCTCCATCTTCTGACTGTTAAAAACTTGGGAGTTGAGAGTGTTTCCAGTATGAAATACATACTTTGAATACATAGTCTGAAAAAACAAATTAGTTTCATTTATTATATGTTCAAATGATAACAGCTTTAGATTAAATATATTTCACCTTTTTAGTTTTTTTTTTTTTTTTTTTTGGTTTTTCGAGACAGGGTTTCTCTGTGTAGCTTTGCGCCTTTCCTGGGACTCACTTGGTAGCCCAGGCTGGCCTCGAACTCACAGAGATCCGCCTGGCTCTGCCTCCCGAGTGCTGGGATTAAAGGCGTGCGCCACCACCGCCCGGCCAACCTTTTTAGTTTTTTATGTCACTACTAAAACTTTCACAAGTCTCTGCTGGACAGTGCTAGATGATTTCCTGGCTTTTTGGGAGCGTTCTTTATCCCAGCTCTTCCCTGAGTGTCCTCCATTCAAGTGCAGCTGCCAGTGAACACCTGCTCCAGGGGCAGCAGACATGGTATGGCAGTAGCCAAGGCCTTCGTCATTCTGGAGATTGACTTACCATTATATCACAGGATAATTTAGATCTTTTAGGTAATAGCGATGTGCTGAGATTCGCACTTAGTTCACAGTCAGTTAGAGCTCCTAGGTTTTCCCTATAGAGGGACCTACTCCATAATGGCCATCTATCAGGTCCATTTCTGTCAGTGTGGGTGCATGTGGGCATTTGTAGTTTTGATACTCGGTCGTTGTAAACTTAGATCTGGTCTAACCTTTTGTCAGAATTGCTGCTGTCATTGCTCTTTATATTATCAACTTTCCAAATGTGTGTCATTTCTTCTATCTCTGCTACTTAGTTTTAAAAAATATGTATCCTTTCTCCTTTCATCGAATCTGATGTCTTTAAATTGTTGTCTAAGATAAAGCATAAGATAGAACCTTTCAACTTGCCACCAGAAATCTCCTAATAGAACAGGTCTTGTGTATAATTGGCCTTTCAGCCAGTCAAGAATCCTTTTATTTTTATCTTGCTAAGACATCTAGATAGGACAGGTCTACACTGTTCCCCTCATGTCCCTTCCAGTATTGAGCATGAGATAATTATATAGTTTCTCTATGGATCTATGCACCCTGTATTCTTCCTAGAACAGGTTCCTCTACTGTCCTGTCCAGTTTTCATGTCATTAAAAGTCCGTCTAGAAAATGAGAAACAGATTTGCAGGAGTGATGGAGAGCAGCCTCTGCACAATACTAGCCAATTGGAGCAGAACTCCTCGGTGTCGCCGCAGAGCTGATGATCCTGGT